GGGGGGGTGTACCATTATATACAATAGCACACAATATGTTCCTAAGAATGTAGTCTTTAGATTTTTCTCATAACCTAATTGAAAGAAGTGCAGACAGTGAGAATTTACATAGATCATTTTTTTGCCAGCATCCTCTACAGTTTTCCAGCTGGGAATGCTGAAAACACAGGAAGATAAAATTAGACTGGCTATGTTGGCAAGAAAGAATTATGATGCTGGTTGGAAGGGAGTTCTAGGGCATGCTGTCAAGGAAATGTTTTTTTTAAAGTATGTTTTTGTGCTCTGTAGCTGTGTACTTCATTAGAAAGAAATTACGATATTTGCCTTGTTGCTATCCCTTGCTTGAAGATGCATGAAAAGAACAGAATTGCCATGGTTAAGTATGGATGTAGGAAGAAAAACTATGTATGCTTTTAAAGAATAATGCTAAAGATTAGCTTTACTAAACTAACCTTAACTAACTCTTAACTAAGAGCTAACCTCTTCCACTGGAAAATTCTGAAATATCATCACTATGAAAATCAGTACTATTCTCCTTTCATTTCTTCTTTCACCCCACATTTTCCCAAACTCTCGTCTGTTTCTGAACGTGAAATAAATAGCTTCTCTCTTCTACTGCTTATTTTCTTCAAGAACGACAGATATTAGAAACAATAATAAGGAGTAAGAGTTGAATATGACCCATGTTACTGGTGTGCTAGGTCAGAAAAGTGTTATATATTGTGGAGATATGCCCCCATAAGACCTCCTTCATCATTTATTGATTAAGAGAGATTTTTAATCCAATAAGGTTTGCATGTTTCAAGTTGTGATCACTGCAGTAAAAGTAGAAAAACAATGACCTCAGTTTCTCTTCTAGTCGATCATCTGCTGTTCATCCCTTGTACCTAGTGATAGCTACCAAAACTATCCTCCCCCCAAAAAACACGTAACTGTGACTTTACATAGAGAGTTTTAAAAAAAGCATATCTGTTCTTTATTTGTGCAGTCCAAAACCAAACTTGCACAGTGAACTGCGGTACACAAACAGTATGAAATAATCAAAATAATGATTTTTCTCCTGAGGGATTTACATACACACATGCATGAATGCACCCACACAAATGTATAACATTTTAGTTTCATGGTTTTTGCAGCAGCACCAGATTAACATGTCTTTTTGTGGTGGACTTGAAGGCAGCAGTCTATCCTAGGCAATGAGCAACGCTGCTTTCCCTCGGAGTTTGATTTGTTAATATATCAGGTGGTGTTTCAAGCTCTGGCCAACAGCTCACACTTACTTAGTGATGAAGTAAAGACAACTAAATATATAAAAGCAATATATAACAAATAGAAACAAGAGATACTGCGTAGCAGAACACTATAAATAAAAATTGTAAATTGCAAAAAACTGAGAAGTAGTAGTAAAGACAGGGAAAATCCACATCTGACTGGTTTGAGGACAATAGGAACTTTTTTTAAAATGTACTAGGGGCAAAATATCAGGAATCACTAGAAAGGACATGATAAATTCATTGATAATGAAAAAGAAAAGGCAGTATACTGAATGAACGTATGTCCTGCATTTGTAGAAGTGATATATTCTTGTCACATGAGCATGACTCTCTACTTTGAAGTCTGTTGTAACATATGGTCTATAACATCCTCCTTGCTTACTATTAAACAGTTTCAAATCAGTCAGACTAACTTGTACTCAGAGATCTTAGTCTTCTGAGGCTAATTTTTAACACACCTTGGAAGAGCAGGTTTTAGACAGCTGAAGTTATATCTAGTAAAATGAAAAGTGTAATGTTCAAATAAAATTAAGACAGGTAGTTTTATTGCTCTCCCTCAGAGAACGTAAAGGAAAAAGTCTATTACAGGATTCAGTTAATAAAGAATTACATATTTGTTGCACGATAATAAATACAGTTTTATGGAAAATTAGTCTTGTTAAACACATCTGATTTCCATTCTTCATTATGGTTGCAATTCTTCGTTGATAAAATGTTTGCAAAGATTTGATATGCTTTGACTTTTGTAGTGAGTTTGACATTGTGTCTCATGGTATTCTAATTTAAATACATCCCCATACGGTATCTGTGGAAATGTTAAATGAATTAAAAATGGCTAACTAGAAGTCTAAAAAAAAAAAAATTGTCAGTTGGGAATAATAAGTGAAATTGGTATTTAATAGTCTGAAAGTAAATATAAAACTATTGCTGCTAGTATCAATGTACGTTGCAAAGAATTTCCTGAGGAAAATAATGTTAAGAACTCTATGGGCCATGCATCTGGATCACTGTGCTTACATCGCTGCTTGTAGAAAATATACTAAATCTTCTAAAGCTAAAGTTATATATCAAGAAAAAAAAATTATGCAGACTATATCTTCAGGACTGGAGAGACTATCCTGGGAAACAGTGGCTGAAAACAGCTTAAGGGTCACGGTGGACTTAGTGAAAAGAAATAAGGGAGGTAGCTGTACTTCTGCATATGGCAGATGGTTGAATATCATGTCCAATTTGCTTTCTATTATAAAAATGGGTATTGATAAAAGTGGGGAGGGTGCTGAAAAGCACCACAAATGTTAAGCAAGTGCTGGAGAAGAAGGAAGGATTAAAAGAGCACCATGTGTTTAGCTCAGCAAAAAGACAACTGAGATGAGTGGGTAAAACCAAGTGAGATTGCGAACAACATTATTACACTTGGGTCTGTAAGTTTTTCCTAGATTGTACTTATATTCTGTAGTGTAGACTTTTTTCCCCCTCAAATTTTTAAATATTTATGACTGTGATCATGTTTACTACATTATTCCCATATTTTGAAAAGCTAATGGGAGAATTCATGGGTTAATGAATGGAGATAGGAATTCATCATCCTAAGTCATGACTCAGATTACCACTCATTAGAAACCAGCTGAAAATATTAATGCCTGTAATTCTTTCTGGTTTATGATTGACTTAATTTCTTGACCTACAGGAAGCTGTACACAAAAGAGCCACGCTTTTTTCCAAGAGCCTTGGAAAAAAATCCTAAAACGCTTACATAATAGAGACTGTGATAAGTAGTCCTGTGTTTATTTTGCTTTGATAAGTGTCAGAGGCAAATGAAAGTTCTTAGTCTAAGATATATTTTATTAAGAACCTCTTCTCAGAATAAGGCATTTGCCACCTAATTAAGTTGCAGTTACAATCTGAAGTATATTTAATACCTTCACTCCTTTTTCTTATGTGAGTATCAGGAAAAAAAAATCCAACATGTTAAGTGTACAGTGGTAGGAATTCTAATACTTAGTACAATGCCTTACTCAATTTTTGATCTAAAAGTTGAAAAATATGGTTTCTGATTTCATCACAAACAGGATTTTGTTGTCAGCTTAACTTTTCTACCTTAGTTCTGGCAACCAAACCATCTGTATATGGTTTTGCTCTGCTTTGGGGACTAAAGGTTTTGACTTTGCTTTTAAGTAGATGAGGTTCTTTTAAGTAAATATCTTGTGTTCTGATTTAGTTGTGTGTGGGAACTTCTGTTACCACTGTGCTGATAGATAGTGTGGTGTTCCCTACAATTGTTTCAAAATACCATATTAACATTTCTGTGATTTCTTATATCTGTTTAAAATATACATATGAGAATATATATATAGCTGCAAAGCATGGTGTCCTATTCACCAAGACATTGATGGGTCTGGACAAGATATTCTTTAAGCTTATAGTTTTCTCTGGTTCTTTCCACACCAAGCATTTCACTCTTCAGTAAAATATTTAAACTCTGTTCTGCTACTATCATTTTGTTTTCAGAACTCATATATGAGCGACTTGCAGAATTTTCTTGGATGTGGGAGCAAGTGTGATGTCGTTCTGTCCTTTTTATGTATCACGCTGGTGTTGAAGTGAACCATTTCACTTCAGATGATGAACTCTCTGAGCTTGCATCACATGTTCTCAGGAGCTTCCTAGTTACTATGGAGCCTTCTGAGCAGAACCTTATCCAAATGCTTTGTGTATGTCTGTGTTTGCTGAGGAGATGCAGTAGACTCAGTCTTTTCCTGTAAGGAAATTTCACAGACTGTTTACTACAAGAAATGTGGTGCTATTTTTTTCTGGGCAGAACTTTGGTTTTCAATCTAGTATGACTGCTGCTTTTAAAACTAAGAACTTGTACATGTGGCTGAAATTCGAATATGATGGACATGAAGTGGAAAGCAGAGATTTTTCTTCTTGGAGTAATTTTGTTATTGATGTGGAATTTACTGTCCAGCACTACATCGTGTTCTTTGTATATGTGTCAGATTTCAGATTCTCTTGTTTCAGTCCTTGTGTTTGAACTTTTCATGCGTGTTGCAACCCATACCAAATGCTACTAAGATGGTTTCATTGTAATGTCCTGCAGTGTTTTACATCTAAAGGACCTAGGTCCATATTAAAAAGGGTGCATGATTCAGTGCACTTTACGTGCTGGTATTTCAGCAGATAATTATTGGAGAAACAGATCACAAAGAAGTCTGTGGGATCAAAATCATTTTGGACAAGAAAAAATTGAAATAAAAAAGCATCAGAGAAAATGAGAAGTCACAGACCAGGATTTAGTTGTGTGATAAAACTCTGTGGGGAAATTAAAACAATTAAATAGTTGTGTCTTTTATGTTGCATTAGTTGTTGCTCCTGAGCAGAACTGAATCCTTAGCAGACATTCTTATTTAGATTTTTTTAAGAAATATTTTTCAGTGTTTCTGATATGTGCATTTGACTTTTAATCAAACACATATTTTCTCTTCTCCTAACTACAGCTAATCCGGCAATTAAAGAAGACACTTTGGTTCTCAAGATTGGATCTGCCTGTATGGCTCCTCAGGCTGACAACCCTCTTAGTAGAGCTGTGCTTAGAAAAGACATTTATCAGTAAGTGTTGGGGGAGGAGTTTGGGTTTTCATATATGGTCTCAGAAAAATTCATTTTGGAAGAAGTTAATTGATCAATAAAACAGGTACGTGCAGCCTGTAAAAATACTTTTCACATACAATCTTTTGATATTCAAAACCAGGTTTTTCTGATTTTCTTCACTTGTGGGCTTTCAAATCCATTTAGACAAATCAAGTTCTTCTGTGAAGTGCTGATGAATAACAGAATTTAAATGTCAAGTCATTACGACGCTTAAGCTCACAGATGAGAACATTTTAAGAGGCTTTCTTTTATTCAGCCGCTACTAAGTTCACCTAAGAGAAAAGGAAATTTTTTGTGACTACCGATGTGCTCAGTAGCCATATAGTGTGAAGGAGATAGACCTTAATAATATAAATGGTAAACATAAATTCAAACTGTAGGATTCTTGATGTCATGTAGATCAAAGCTGAACGGAACGCAAACTTCTAAGGAGCTCTTTCCCAGTAAACACATTTTCTGTGAAAATGTCATGCTCTGGATTGTGTCACTAAGTAAGTGCAAACCACACTAATCATATATAGGCAGCAAAACTGGTGAACATATGTAATCAACATGATAAAAGTAATATATGATCCTTAGTAGAGTTGGCACTGTTGCCAGACATGAAAGTATGGTTGCAAATAATACCAAGTGAGAAAAGTCACAGAAATACAGATGAACAAGTGTCTTATACTTCCCGTTGGTCTGTTTTTCAGATGTGGCAATATTTTTAACTACTTCATAATGCTCTTCAATAGAAATTACAAACATCAAAATCTTTTCCCAGCAGTAAAACATTTACTGCCTAGAAAATGACAGCAAGTTTTACTTTTTGTCAAGACTAGGATTTTTAGGAGACCGTGAAATATCTCCAATTTCTCTTCTGATCACTTAGAAGTTGTAAGAGAGTCTTTTTCTTTGTATTTCCATGTGGAAATATTTAAATCAGTGTTTCTGCTTGTATGTTTAGCTAGTAGTTTATCCTTTTTTTTTCTTTTTTATTTTTTTAATGAGCATTGTATCTATTGTATTATGGCGCTTTCATGGAAGAAATCTTGTAGCCTGGCACCAGCAACAGCTTTGGGTGGCAGGGCCTGATCCAACTCTCAATGTGCCCACAGATAAAAGAGATCTCCCTGACATTTGTATAGGCTCTTCCTGCTTCTGCCCTCTCTGTCCAAGGAGACTCCCATCTGATACCTGCTTTGAGAGTTACCAAACCAAATGTAGGTTCCACTCTTCTTCTCACAGCAACCAAAAATTTATCAGAAAAATCCCCTATTGTAAAGCGGAATCTGCAAGTTTCAGCTTCCATAAGGTCGTTTCTGTCACCTAGGGGAACTGTGCAATGTTCCTTGTATGCACGTAACAAATCAGTAAGTAAGCAACAGGAGGGATGCGATTTACATCTAAAATCAATGAAGCTATACCAGTTTACATTTTTGAGTCTGATGTCTTTGCATCTGTGGCTTTACCTGAAATGCAGAAATTCCATGCTTTTCAAACCAGAAGTCACTCAATTGCTTAATGGTCCTGATGCCCATTTGCATTATGGGTCTCTGGGTCTTATATACATAAATGTTCCAGATTAGATTTGTGCAGTGTATATTTGGTTTTCATAGTTTTATACATTTACGGTATGCTCCCGTCCTCCTTTAGAAATCAAGACACCAAATGGGTAAGGTAGAAATAAGCACTGGGCCACAGACATCTCTCATCTGACTGCTACTGGCTTCTTTGTGACCAGTCTCACAACATCATGCTTCCTCTGTCTTTTTCTGAGAAATGTCTGCCATTTTCAGTAATTTCTTCTAACTGTTTCAGTGACCATTCTTCTAATTTCTCAGCAGCTGTCAAATGACTCAGTCTTATCTTTGTTCCTTTAATCATCCAATTATACTAGCTTTAGTGTTTTTAAAATACGTCGGGGCAGAGTGTCAAGTTACTTTGCAGAGTTTTATGAGACAATATTGAAGTTTTAGTGGGTGGTCTTTGGTTTTGGGAAGAGGGTTACTATTTTGATCTGTTTAAGCAAGCGTAACACTTTTGAGCAATATAAATTAATATTTTTTAATTCAAAATATTAAGATTCCAGTGGAGTCAACGTAAATGTGTTTTCTAATTACGTATTCTTTGATCCCGAACATAATGTAGTTACAGAAGTAAGATAGCTGTTCATTTTCTTATGTGGCAGTCACTGCTGTTGGACCAGTGGAGTTGTGAGTGGAGTTGATTTCACCATTTGTCAGTTTTTCTTTGGAAAATAAGATAATAGAAAGGTGTTTGCATTGTTAGGGCAGGGGACACAGTCTGTATTCAAGGAAAAAAGACAAAACAGTGGGATATTTTTAACACATAGGCCTGATGTTAGTATTTGTTTCTGGTAATATGAGATTTCTTAACTTACACAGTATTTGCCCTTTTTTACCTGCCCATGTGGTACTAGATAGCAAAAATGTGTAACTGGAGCTAATACAGAATGCTTAAAAAACAAGTAGTAAAATGGGCAAACCCACACAATGTGTAACTCATGTATTTTGGTGAAAGATTTCTTAGGAAGTATCAACAGGGGTACAAGTAGTACCATATCCAGCTTAAGAGACTAAAAAAAATCATAGCAGCCTGTTGATTACTGAAGAATTAGCTGCTACAGCATTCTAATAATCCCAACATGTCATCTTCTGTCTTTTTCCAACCTCTCTTCTCTAATTTGCTGTTGCTGCTGCTTTTAATAGAATAAAAGAAAATAAATCATTGTCTGAACCACTGTCTTTACAGTGTTTCTGGAGTGGGGATACAAACTTAATTTGCGGTGTCACTTTGGTTTAAACAGTCTTCTGTTTAGGTCTGAACTACAACCACATGCAATTAATGTCACTTATGTAGTGTTTCATGAGAAAGAAGAAATTTTGCTTCTCATTTAGAAACTGTTCTTTTAGAAAAGGCAGAGAAACTTTTTCATGGCTAAAGGCTGAATAGAATTTCCAAATATCTTTTGAATTTGTCCCATAAATTCATACATGAAAAACTGAATGTGCTCATATATCATTAACAGAATGCCAATGTGTGAAAGGTAAATCTGGTATGGCTGCAAGTCATGCTAAATAAACTGGGCCACTTCTGGCCTGTAAGCTGAAGTGACTCCATCTGTGTCTTAGGAAAAATAGCTTACTTGGTTAACTTGGAGAGAGAACTAAATTGAAAATGGAATGTGGAAAAATAATGTGCCCCAAAAGTTTGGGCACAAATATTTTTTCAGGTGATAATTGGAAGTTGGAAAAAAATGTATTGAGATAGTAACTTCAGTTTTCTTATACCATATAAAAATTAGTCTAAAAATAACTATTTCCTCCAGTAGCAAATGGACTAATTTAGTTTAGACTATTAATACACATAGTAATCAAAGATGCATGTAGCATAACAGTAAATACAGAGCTCCTGAAAGAAGTACAGTGACACATTTTTAGGTGGTCACAGTCAGAGACAATTTCTCCTTTTCGATTCCACACACACACCCCCCCCCCCAAA